CTTGAACCGTTTCATACCCGGATGATAGCTCCCCATCCTCCCTTGGTTGTTTCTTTTTCTTTGGCTTTCTCTTTTTCTTTTTCAACCTTGCTGCCTTTATAAAGGGGTGCTCCTCTTGTTGGGTAGGGGTGTCTAATGCCACGACATAAGGTACGGCCTTAGACGTTCCCACCATCAAAGCCGCGGCCTTGTGGTTTGATGTCCCCACATGTAAAGCCGCGGCATCATCTTCCTTGCTAATGCCTTTGCCTTTGTCCCCCTTTACTTGTTCATCCTTCCCTTGCTCTTGTGCTTTCTTTTCTTCTCTTTCTTTCTTCTCCCTCTCGGCTATGATTTTGCATGTGAAGGCATGGTGGCCGTATGCCTTACAATTGAAACAATAGTTTGGATATGTTTCATAGATGATCTTTTGAAAGTGGAACCTACCACTTGACAGCCTTATCTTGAGCATGAGAGGTGGCGGCTTAGATGCATCTACCTCAATTAAGACCCTTGCATATCTTGAGATAGTTCTTTCTTGTGTGACCCTATCCGTAGTTAAGGGCACCCCTACTCTCGAAGCAATCTCACTTATAACCTCTTCATTCCATATTTGCAAAGGGAAATTAGGGAACTTCACCCAAATAGGTACTTTTAGAAATTCTTCACTTTCAAAGGAGAAATCCTCCGATAGTGTTTTGAGGTATAATGACTTACCAAACAGTGTGTATGGGCCCTCCATAAGAACTTTAGATCTGTCTTCTTCATTTTGAAACTTGAAAATCAGCCATCCTTTGTCATGGGTTCTCACCTTGCAAGGGGCACTCCATTTTGAAACAAGTTCTTGTAGGGGGCTGTATCCGGGATATCTTCCCGCAAAATAACCCACGAGGCAATACCCCCAAATTTCCACCACAGAAGGAATCACTCTCTTATGCAAGTCAACAAAATCTCCAACCGGTTCAATAAACCTTAGCTTCATTCCTTTTGTAGGTTCCCTATTATCCTTGAATAGAGATGCAAAAGGTTTGGGCATTGGGGTCTCGGTTTGTGTCACGGGGATAGTTTTCCCAAGGGCAGCAACATACAAGTTATTAACATCCTCTTTTTCATGAGTTTGATGTTCAATTACAGGCACATTATCAATCAGCACAATCTCCTTATTTCCCCCATCAACCAATCCCTCCACTTGCCCCAAAACTTTGTCAACGGTAACATTTTCGTTTGTGGCAATTAGCATGTCATTTCCCTGTTTTTGAGGGGGAATAGAAGTAACCTGAGGTTCAGGAGGTTGAGTAGCAAATTCAGGCTGAATTGGTCTAGAATCCCCCTCGGATTCACTAGCAAACTCCAAGCTCAATTCCGAATCACTAACTTGGTCCATGGCCGAGAGTGCATCTTCAATCTCCTTGTTTTTTGCCTTTTCTTTGAGCCTCGAGGACGACTTTGTAGGAGCTTGGGGCTCCTTCTTCTTAGCCGTGGACTTGGGCATTATGTTGTTTAGAAGATGAGCCAAGAAACAATCTTCACACCATGGAAGGGGTAGCTAAAAATAGCAACCCCTTCTAAACCGAGAAGCTTTGAGTTTGTTCAATAGATGGAGCTAAGAAATCCGTACCAATGGCTGCGTTTGTGAACAGTAGCTTGTTGTACGGCCTTCCTTGATGATGAAACAAAGTTGATAAAGTTGATCTCCTCACCAAGGCGAACCCCAATCCAAGCTCAAAATCGGAATTGACCTAGTAGATGATGAAGAAAAATGCGTTGACCTTTTTCGTGAATAGTAAAGTTGCGAACGATTTGGGGAAGAAGGAGCGGGGATATCCCAGATATTACTCAAACAAGATATGGAGGAAGTAATATGGAGGATATACGAGCTCCAGGGTGAAGATTGGTGGTGGTTTGCGGTGATGTATGGCGGTGAACGGTGGTTTCCGGCGTGAGTGAGCCAAGTTTTTGACCGTTAGGCCAAAAATCGGGAGAGTGAGCTCTCAACCCTCACTAGAACGGAAATCTCTCAGGCGCTACACAACTCTTTTCTTTTCTAATAGTTGGACGCCCAAAAACATGCCCTCATAGCTTCTTTCGACCACAGTTCCGAATTCAGACCCACGATCCGGTGCTGCAACCTCACAACCGCCTTGACCAACCAAGCCCGCCGCCTTGCAACGGCGTCAGCCAATCAACCTGCCGCCTCACACCGCCTCGGCCTCGCAACCTTGCCGCCTCGCGCCTCAGGCTCACACACCCCCGGTCTCACCTCCTCAGCCTCGCAACCCCGCCTCCTCGCTCCTACACCTCGCAGCGCTTCGCAACCCCGCCTCCACACTCCTCCACCCGTCCCACCTGGCCACCTTCTGTCGTGATATCTCAATGGACTCGGTTATGTGGTAATTTTGGAATTTCCTTGTGTTTGTGCCCAACATTTTGCATATGTGTGATAACCTAAAGTTGCTATGTATCCTGCGGTAATTGCATCAAGATTGCTCAGGACTTGAATCATTCTTTGAGATTTTATCCATTGAAATTAAGTTAAAAACATCTTATCTAGGTATTCACAGGAGAATTGTTTCCTTTTAATCATTTTTCTGTTTGTTTGTGGGCTTTACTGTTAAGTTTGTTTTCAGCTACTTGTTTAGCTCAACAGGCATCAATAGGCATATTTGACCAGTTAGATTAGTAGGTGCAAGTAGGAGTAAGGTCTGTTGTTTATAAAATTATGCTAACGTGTTATTTTTGTACATTGAAGATGCAAAAAAGGTTTTTCCAGGTATGATTTAGATAAAAGGTATTCTCCTTCTATACTTTTACCTATTGCTAAATTCATTGCTAGTATTCTCTTGTCCTCTTATATTTGCAATTGCACCATTCATCTCCTTTCCTTCTTAATTTCACTTTCATGCTCTATGTCACCTAACCTTATTGATGTCCAGGCATATTCTGCAGTCTGCTGCCACCGGCTCCACCCAATCAAAGTAGCAATCTGCCGCCACCGCCACCTCCGCACGTGGAGTCTTTGCTACACCAACTCGTCACCCTCTCCTCCGTGTCCTGCCTACTCTTCACTACACCAATACGCTAGAGGTATATTTCTTAATTTGTATCATTTCAGTTAGTTTATTTTAATGGTTTGTTAATTTTATGACAGTTTAGTATTCTATTTCTATGAATTTATCAAATTAGTGTTGATGTTTATGTTAATGAGAAGTTGGTGAGTAATGTTAATTGCATAATAACACAATTAACCCTTTAATTGTTATTATTACCTCCGGTAATGTATACCTATTTAGTTTCTTTGATGTTTCTTGTTTCATTTTGAGAAGTTGAAACCCGATGTCTATTGATTTTGGTTCTAAAATCACAACTAACGTACATTTGGGTTTCATATGGTTGGATTTCACATGGCAATGCGCTCCTCCGGAGTTTATACATGATTATTGTTGTTGGTGTAACGTTTCACTGTCTAGGGTGATAGATATCTGCATATTGTTGGCAGGTTACTATGTCACATTATCCCCGTGGTGTCACATCGACCAAAGTTGTTGGAATTTTTTATCAGCGATGATGGTCTGATATCGTCTTAACATAGTATGCAAATTTTAAGTTATTTTCACAAAACTAAGTTAATGTCTTGCACTAACCGCACACCCTTTAGTGTTTTATTTGCAGAACCAATTTCTCATATCAAATGTTCTCTTTGACTGTTTTTTGTGATGACAACACGATTCTGGAGGTGTAAAGTTAATACCCTCTATCCTGAAATGGATGTTCTATATCCAATTACTATTATTGTCGAAGAGAATTATAGACACACGGGTATGGTTTTTCTTATGCTAGGTTATTTGATATTTTCGCCCCTCTTAACCTTCTTGATTTCCTTATCATTTCAGGATAAAATTCTTATTTCAGAAGCATCTTGGAAAGGGAAAGACAGAGGTGGGTATTACATTATTTTTTTGCGTTGGCTTTTACATCTCTTTATTCACTCTTCGATTTGGTTCCTCTTCTCCCTACTTGATTGGTTCCCATTGATTTTTCTTGGATTAGATTGGAGGTTTGGTGGGAGTTTATTGAGCTCTAAGATCTTCTAAATTGTAATATTTATGGCTGACAAAGACCAAGACTTTTTTGCCACAAAATGCTATCAACTTCTCAGGCAACTCAATTTTTGTGAGCTCGTTTCCAAATGTATGTCCATTTTCCAATTTAATCACAACTATCATGTTAACAGCATCAATTAAGAACATTACCTTATGATGAAGGTTGAAGTGTTGAGCTTTTACACAATGAAATTTTACTTTTAGAAATAAAAAAATCAATAATGCAAGAAAGTAGAAAATTTTAATTTAATGTTCATTTGTTAAAAGTAAGTGAGCATTCACTAATTGGAGTTGAAAAATATTTCAGGTTTATAAGAGCTCCCTAAGAGATGAAATGTTTCTGATGAATGGATGATATTGCTGAAGTTCATGAGAATATGTATTTTGATAATTTATTGTACTCTTTTATACATAAAGATTGTATTATGAGTACAATTTTTATTGTATTGGACCATGTTTTTGTAATATTTGATAAGTGATATTATATTGGTAGTGATCCATTATATACCTTGGAATATGGGGATTATTACTCCGTATTTTTATGTAAAAATTTGATTTATGGTGAATTTATGCTAATGCTCCATTTGGAGCAATAATAAGTAAGTCGTTGATCCAATTTGGAGCCAATAAGTAACTTATTTGTTGCGGTTGTCCAAGAACCGCCGCAATAAGTGAAATAAAAAAAATTGGAATGCCTATTTGCTGCGGTTGTTGACCGCCGCAATAAATAAATCCGCATTTTGCTGCTCCTTCAATTGTTGCGGTTGTGAACCGCAGCCCACAACCGCAGCAAATAACTAAAAATAACCGCAACAATTAGACTTTTTTCTAGTAGTGATACTATTAGTATTTAAAGACGTGCCAATAGAATTATAATACTATTGATAAACATACACTGCAACTCAAGCTAAAAGCTTATAGGTGCGCAGCTAGGGTTCCTTGACCCTCGTCTGCGGAAGAGTTGGGGTCGGCGAACTACTTTGCTCAACGTTGGACGCCACGGAAATCATTATGACAGCCAAAATAGAAGCAGTGGAGACTAACTACCAAATCGTCTTGGGATTGAACAATGATTGGCTGTTTGTCTCGAAGGTGCAAGGAGTTGCTTCGGCGGAAGCTTTTCTTCACTAAACAGTTTGAAAAGCGTAGGCCAGACGAAGATGACAGACATGAACGAGTTTGAGGAGATAGACATGTTAGCAAACGTGTATGACAACATGGAGATGGAGGAAGAAAGATGAGTTTCTACAAGTGGAGGCTAAGACTTCAGAGATTGAGAAAGTAGGGTTGACATTAGTAGGAACTATTACTTCTGAATCGTTTCTCTTTGTTCGTGATACCATGGATAATGTGTGGAAACGTATTAGAGGTGTTACTATTACTGAGATAGGGGCACGCAGATATATGTTCCAATTTTACAGTGAGAATGATCTGACACGTGTTCTCGAGGATAGATCATGGACTTTCGACCTTATTGTTCTTGCTAAGTTAAAGCAAAGAGATTTGCCTTTGCATGTACCACTGAATAGAGCTGATTTCTGGCTACAGGTTCATGATGTGCAATGGGATTTTTTCTGTGGAAAATGCCATAAAAATTGGAAACTTTGTGGGGAAATTTATCAAGGTGGATGAACATAATTTCTCTAGTGAATGGAATCCTTGTATGAGGATAAGGGTTAATATTGATTTGAACAAGCCTTTGAAAAGAAAGTTGTTTCTCCAATCGGATGAAGGGGGAAATTTTTGTGTGAAATTTAGGTATGAAAAATTTCCTAGTTTTTTTTGCCTATGGAATTATTGGTCACGCAGAAAGATTTTGTCCGTGCTATCCTGAGGGTAAAGGCAGGAATGGAGAATTATTGTTTGGGTCTGAGTTGAGAACCTCAAAAGGAAAACCAACAGTAGGGGAAATAAATGACTAGTCCCAACTGGGAAAGGGAAAGAGAAAGAAGAGGAGGGGGGAACATGGATGGTAAAATCGGGTGTGCAGGGAGAACCGCAACAGGGGAAAGGCCATGTTCAGATGGGAGACGAGATGGAACAAAAGCAGAGGCGAGTGGATAGTGGAGAACAAGAGTCACATCAAAACAACATGGAGGTGGAGATGGGCACACAAAAAAACGGGGAGGAGGCGGGCTACAATGCCCGCCGCTCAGACATCTAAAAAATGAGATGGAGGAAGTGGGAAGGATGGAAGCATGCAAACTCCATCATCTGGACTTAATTTTGTTGGTACTTGTTTTTCTGTCAGGACTCTAGTTTGGTGGGTCGTTGGTTTTGGATTAGGTCTTATCTTGATGGAGACAATCAAGCTAATTCAGCCGCAAATAGCATATTTGCTCTCACCGTCTCAGCGATTAGTCTCGCTCCTTATGGGGAGATGTATTCTATGTCTGGACATGACGTGAGAGGGCCGATGGGCTTTTGGTATTGTTTGTTGATATGCACTAATTAGTAGTGCATAAGTGTATGTTTTTATTAGAGGTGGACTCGGGCCGGGTCGGCCCCGGGCTGGGCCGCCGGTTTGTAGCACATGGACCCGGGACCGGCCCGAGGGTTGGACGGGTCCGGTTCAGGCTGGGCCACCCGCCTGGGTCACGGGTCAGGCCACCCGCCGGGCCGGGCCGGTTAAAGTAATTTTTTTTAATAATTTATACTTTATAGTTTTATACAAGTATTAAAAACAAACTTCAAGTGCATTTATTTGAAATGAAATAGGAACTACATTTGAAAATTAAAACAAACTTCAAGAGACATACATTTTGTAAATTGTAATTAATCGGAACTTCCCGCACCTCCCGATCCTTTGGCTTTGTCACATGACTTAATATGCTTCATTGTCATCCCGTATCCGCCTGAAACCCCCATGCTACATTTTTTCCCGCACCATTTGCAAGTTGCGTACCACATCCCGGTCTTCGGGTCCTTCTGCTTATCAAAATTATACCGTATAACGGCATCTTGACTTTCCATCTTAAAAATGGTAGATATAATAATTCTACAATAGATGGAGATGAAGATGGAGATTGGAGAATGGAGATTAGAGATTGGATGTTGGAGAAGATGTGTATAAAAATGTTAGAAAATAAGAGTATTTATTAGGGCTGGGTCCGAAAAATCAAAAACCGAAAATCGAATCAAATCATACCGAACCGTAGCCAAATAAAACCGAACCGCTAACAAACCGAAACCGAATGTAAAAAACCGAACCGAACCGTAGTTGTTTGGTTCGGTTTTGGTTTTTACCCTTCAAAACCGAACCGAACCGAACAAACCGAACTAGTTAAAATATACGGAGTAAAATTTATTTATCCATTGTTAAGCATTAATCCTAACTAATCCTAATATCATTAATAGTTTTTGGTTTTCTTGTGCTAGAGAAATCATGTTTGTTATGTTTAGTTTAATTTGTGAATTCATTTACACATTCATTGCACGTAATTATATAGCTATACTGATAATATGTTTTTACTTGTTATTAGTATTAATTAACTTTTATTTTTATTTAACTAAAAGAATTCGTATTGATGAAACAATAAATATTTATCTCAACTATATCACATATAACGTATATACTCATGAACTTTTTTTGAACTAGTCACAAACAATGTAAATTAATAATATATACTTTTATCTCTCTCGCATACTCATATAATTCATGACATATTTATTTATTTTCATTTTTCTTTTATTTGTTGTAGAGTGCGTGCATTCTTTATGTAATATATGTTTGATCCCTCAAAGTATTATATCATTTTTAAATCAAATGATAATTTTTTGGTAAAAAACCGAAAAAACCGAAACCGAATCGAAACAAACCAAACCAATCAAACCGTGGTTCCAAGTTTTGGAGTGTAGAACCGAACCGAAACCGAACCGAACTTTTTACTTTGATTCTATATTTGGTTTTAGGTCAAAACCGAACCGCAAGAACCGAACCCACCCCTAGTATTTATAGAATTTTTTGTGCCCCCACCCCCAACGACACTATGCCTCTATTGATTCAAATTTCAATAGAGCCGTTTGGGGCTTTTGAATTTTGATTTCAATTTTTTTTATATGTTTTATTTTGAATAAATTACATAATGTAAAATGAATTAATTAATTTTATGAATTAAAAAAAATGCTACATATAAAACATGAACGTATATTTATTTGAAATATGAACTACAAGTTTACAAGTTACAATTGAGAATTGAAGGTAAAAATAAAAAATGAAATACTAATCAATCATTCAATCGGAATCTCCGGCATAGGTAGAGCCACCATCGGTTGTAGATTCATCCATAAAGTGTTGGGATGGGGTGATGTCAATTTCTTGAGCTCTACGGGCTGCTTTCAACCAATCGTGGTAGCATATAAGCATCTCAAAAGATTCTGCGCTCAACCTCGTTCTACATTGTGTTAGGACATTGCCGGCCGAACTAAATTCTTGTTCCACGTCAACCGTTGAAACCGGCATTGATAGCACTTGCTTAGCCATCTTTGCTAAAACCGGAAACATTCTTTCTTTTCCCTTCCACCAGTTTAATACGTCAAAATCATCATTTTCTTCAAAATCAACATCATATGTTAAATACAAAGAAATCTCATTAATTGTGCTTTGTTGCGTAGCGGGAGTTGATTTCGTTTTTTTAATAAGATTGGCAAATGTTGATTTGAAAATTGATTTTCCTTTAGATGATTGTTGGTCCCGGTTATACTGGATACAGTCTAGAGGGGGGGGGGGGGTGAATAGACTGTATTGGTTTTTAGCTTTTTAAACTAAGTACCAGATTTACAGAATAGCCTGTTCTGTTGTAAGAACAGACTGGCAGCGGATGGGGTTCTGGTAGGGAGTTCTGTTAGCCTCAGAGAAGCAATAGGCAGAAGGCCTTCTGTTAACTCGTAAAACAAGTTCTGCTGAACACAGATACCAAGTCCAAGGAGTTATACAGTTCTAACTAAGTGCAAGTATTAAAAGCAGTAAGTAAACGACACCAGGGATTTTTATAGTGGTTCAAGGAACAACTCGTTCCTCTAATCCACTGTTCCACTAAGCTGTAAAAATTGCCGTTTACAAAGCCTTAGTCCTAGTACTTAAGAAGCACTCCACGTCTTCTTCAAGCCTAGATGTGTCCTGGGATGCACTGCCTGGCTTCCTTTAACACTGGTCCTTTCACTGAGTTTCCTTGAAGTATCACCACTTCACTACTCCAGTTATTTGGACGTCCTTCTTGTAGGAAGAAGAGTTTCTGTTGAAACTGGGGTTCCTCCAACTAGCTTCGTTACAAAAGATTTGTATGTGATGAGCTTGAAGAGTTGAAGAACACTTGGAACTTTGCTTGAATTGGAAAGAGTATTTTTCCAACTTCTGCCTTCTCTTGTAGTGGATAATAAGTTTGAATCTCAAGGAGGCTTTTTGCTTTTCAGAGTTTGAATATCTTGCTTGTGGTTAGCAAAGTTGTAGCAAAGTTATAGCAAGGTTATCTCCAAGTCTTTTGGTTATTCTTCGTAGTGTATCTTTTATACTGAGGTTGTCTTCCCGTTGGAGGAGTAGGAGGACAACTGCATTTAATGCGCGATCAGTTGACTTGACTAGTAGAGCCCGATAAAGTTGGCGGGTTACTATTTTGGGATAAAGTAATCCTGACATTGCTGCCAATCATCTGCAATTACTCTACGTAGCATGGGGTGCATTAAATGAGCATTTAATGCATGCACTGTAGCTTTTCCGTTTCATACTCCTAGCCGTTGAAGGAATCTTTTAGTTGACTTCCCGGTTCTTTGAAAATCTTCTAAGTGTCAGTCCTTCTGGTGTCTTTGTCTGAGAGTAGAGCAGAGGAGGTCTGGAGCACTTCTGTTGGGAGTATCCAACAGAGACTCAGAAGGGTTTCTGTCAGAGTCAAGACTAACAGAGATCCTGAGGACTTCTGTTCTGGAGCAGAGAACCAAAGGTCCTCTGTTTCAATAATGCCTTAAGAGGCACTTCTGCTCTTGAAGTCCTTCTGCTCTTGAAGGTCTTCTGTCAAGTCGAATACTTCTAAGAATTTTACAAAGGAAAATTCTAATACATAATTTCTAAAGGGGTACTCTAAAGTCCTAATTAATCTAGCATCATCAAAATCTAATTACGATTATTCCTTACAATTTCCCCCTTTTTGATGATGCCAAAACCCTTTAACTATTTCCAGAGAAGTGCCTTCACCATAAAAAAATATTAAGTTTAAAAACTTCCATTAAAATCTTGGTGGGCAACTTGGCATAGGAAAATAGTAAGAGTATGATACATTTAGATAGCAGAATATAACAGAAATAAACAAACACAAACAGAAGGCAAAAAGACAAGAATTTGAGGAAAAGCACTTCAAAGTAAGAAGGCAGAGATGAGATTTTATTAGATAGATATTACAGAGTTTAAGCCTTACACATTCTCCAGATTAGCTGCCTGTAGAGCTTCTTCCTCTAGTCTTTGAAGCCTGAGCAGTTCTTCGTTTATTTCAGCTCTGATTTTGAACAGATTGCCAGACCTTTGATAAGATGCCCATATTGGAGAAAGCTTACAGTCCAAATAGTTGAGGACA